TTATAGATCGTTGCATTCTTTGTAAGTGGGCAAACCTGCAAAATCAGCAAGGGGTCAAATACTTATTTCCCCCACTGTATGTGTAGATTTAAACGCGCTTTAGGCGGGTTCAAGGTGAAAAGCGGCTTCTACTAAACGGCCTAGCGGGGGTGTGTGTGTGGGGTCAGAGGTCAAAGGTCAGAGTTAAGATGGAGCCTCTATCCTGCAGACGCCTCCTACGTGGACCCGCTGGGCCCTCAGACGGAGCGGCCCAAGACGGGCGCCAAGAAGCGTCTGGACGACGACGACTTCGCCGACGAGGAGCTGGGAGACGACTTACTGCCCGAGTAGCCCCCCCCCACACAATCACCCCCACAATCCCCCCCCCAATACACACCCAAACCCGTTTCCAAGGACGTCTGATGGACATTTTCGTGGAGGAAGGTAGGCGGGAGGATCGGTGGATCGTGTTGGGGGCTGATTCCCGGTTTGCCGGCATCCTCTGTTGCCGTGGCGACCGCACCCGGCAACGCAGACACTTCGATGTTTTTACCCGTTTTTACCGGGGAAAACGATTTGAAGCCAAACTCGTGAACGCTTCCTCAGCACCTTTCTACCAAATGTAAACCCGGTTTCAGCTCCTGTTTTTCTGTGTCAGAATGTGAGATCTGGTATTTATTTGCTCTGTTTGTCTTCTTTGTTTGTTATATAAGTAAAAAGAAAATGTTTTTTCAGTTCTGAAGTCGTTTCTGTTCGTGGTCGAGTTGTGGGTTTGACGTGATCAGATATTGCTTTGGTGGAGTTTTCCTCAAAGGTGTGGATCAAACGAGTTAGAAAACATGATTTTTTCTAGATTTATTCTATTTATTTATTATAAATTTAGGTATCTAGGTCTGTCTGGAGACCGGTAGTCAGAGTAGCTGTCCTCTAGCTGAGGGGAACATGGTCTTTGATTAGGAGGGGAAATATTACTGGAGATTGATGGTTTCTTTCTAAAACTAGGGCAGGCTGCAGAGGTTTGAAGAGGCGGGTGCTAGTTTTTGGATCAGGGACCTCCCCCCGGCGCCCAGAGCTGCTCCCAGAAACTCTGCAACACGCTCTTGTTTTTGTTTTTTTTCCTTTTCCTTTCCGTGGCCAAAACCTGGAGACGACAGGGCTCGACCTGCCAGCCTCTCGGGTTTTGCTCCAGACTCCGTGCGTCACGACTTTACGCACGGGATCGAGCTAGAAAAACGGCTCCTCCGTGCCTTTTTACGCATCTCAAACCGGAAGGAAGACATGTAGAGCTTCAGTCTTGCTCGTGAGTTCTTCGTTTTTCCTCTCTTTTTTTGTTTTTGGTGAGTGCAGCGTGGACATAGCGGAGTTTTTGCCGGAATGTGTCTGGAGTTTCCCTCCGTTTGAATCCCCGGGACCGCGATGCTCCGGAAAACTCCTGGACGGTAACCTGCGCGCAGGAGAAGCCGATTCCCCCGGTTAAAGGTCCGTTTTGGTCCATAAAATAGATCCTCTGGGCTATTAATACGCACACAGATGTTCATTTGAATGGTGTCTGGTGGATAAATCCACATCGGGTGTCTGTTTGGATCCAAATTTACGCACATTTCTCTACCCAGGAAAGAAAAAGATCACAGATTTGTCTGTTTTAAAGGGGAAAAAACAACTAAATATGATCCCCCCCCTAATCTTTCTGCGCACAGATGTTAATTTGAATTGTCTGGTGGGTAAATCCCTGTCGGGTGTTTGTTTGGATCAAGTTTTACACACATTTCTCTACTAAGATCACAAATTTGTCTGTTTTGGGGGAAAAAAAACAACTAAATATGATTTTTTCCGGGCACAGATGTTAATTTGAATGTTGTCTGGTGGATAAATCCATATCGGGTGTCTGTTTGGATCCAGATTTACGCACATTTCTCTACTCGGGAAAGGGAAAAAAAAAAGATTTGTCTGTTTTGGGGGGAAAAAAACAACTAAATATGATTTTTTTTCTGCGCACAGATGTTCATTTAAATGTTGTCTGGTGGATAAATCCCAGTCGGGTTTCTGTTTGGATCCAGTTTTATGCACATTTCTCTACTAAGATCACAGATTTGTCTGTTTCAAGGGGAAAAAAACAACTAAACCTGATTTTTTTTCTGAAACACGACCCTCTTGTCTATAATTTGGTCGGTTTAATGGAAATGTTCATGTCCAGAGAGGCTCGCAGCGCAGAGATGCCGCGTTGGATCCGGGTCCCGGTCCCGGTCCGGGTCCTGGTCCTGGTCCTGGTCCCGGTCCTGCTGCACCTGGTCCCGGTGTCCCCGGTGGTCCGGAAGAGGGCCTCCCGGACCCGGGCCTGCCTGGACCTTCCGGAGGAGATCCTGGAGCAGATGTTCGGGCGGCTGTCCGTGGGGGTGATGAGCGCCTTCCACCACGCGCTGCAGCTGGAGCCGCAGCACGAGCTCAACCTCACCTGCCCCACCACCGCGCATGCGCACACCGACGGAAAGGGAAAGGCCCGCGTGCCGGTCAACCTGCTGAGCGTGTCCCCCTGGGCCTACAGGTGGGAGGGTCCGGGGTTCTGGTTTCAGACGCTTCTGAGCGTCACCAGAAAGTTTAAAGCTTCAGTTTATTTCAAAAGAAAAAAAAAAGAAGCAACAGGAACTAGAGCAGAACTTCTACTTGCGACCAATTTTCCAACATCCGAAGTGAAAGTCGATAAATATTCGACTCGACATCCGAAGTAAATTTCCAACATATGACGTCAAACTCATAGAAGGAAAATAAAAAATCAAAATAAATAAGATAAGTTAGTTTGAAGTTCAGGTAGTGAAAGTTAGAGTAAGTTAGTTAGGTTAGGGCCAGGATTAGGGTCAGGGTTAGAATTAGGGTCAGGTTTAGGGTTAGAGTTATTTAAGGTTAGGATTAGGGTCAGGGTTAGGATTAGGGTCAGGGTTAGGGTTAGGGTTAGGACATCGTTTATCTTCTGATTTCGTATAGACAGTAAAGCATCGTTTCCACCTCAGAAAGCTGCTAGTCACATGAACTAATCAAAATGGCCGACTTGGCTGTGGGAGGAGTTGGATATCCATCCTTGTCTTCCTGCAGACTCACACCCAGAGGCTCCTCTCAGTTTCTCCTCCCGTGACGGCGTTTTTGTCCCGGTTCCCGGTTAGGGTCAGGATTAGGGTTAGGGTCAAGTTTAGTGTCAGGGTCAGGGTTAGGATTAGGGTCAGATTTAGGTTTAGTGTTAGGGTTAGGGTCAGAGTTAGGGTTAGGATTAGGGTCAGGATTAGGGTTAGGGTCAAGGTTAGGACATTGTTTCTCTTCCGATTTCGTATAGACAGTAAAGTTTAGTTTCCACCTCAGAAAGCTTCTAGTCACATGACCTAATCAATACTCGATACCATTTTCGATACCACAAGGATAAAAACAAAGACCCCAAAATTGAACTGAATTTTGACAGGTTAGTGTATTTCATTTCAAACTGATCTGTTACTGATGTTATGGTGACTGGTGGCCCGCATAAATAACCCTAATCCTAACCCTAACCCTGACCCTACAGCCTTCATAATTGTGAGAAATAAATATTTTTTGGCTGTGGGAGGAGTTAGACATCCATCCTTGTCTTCCTACAGACTCAGCCAGAGGCTCCTCCCCGTTTCTCCTCCCGTGATGGCGTTTTTTGTCCCGGTTCCCGGTTAGGATTAGGGTTAGGGTCAAGGTTAGGATTAGGGTTTGGGTCAGGATTACGGTTAGGGTCAGATTTAGGGTTAGGGTCAGGTTTAGTGTCAGGGTTAGGATTAGGGTCAGATTTAGGTTTAGTGTCAGGGTTAGGGTTAGGGTCAGATTTAGGTTTAGTGTTAGGGTTAGGGTCAGATTTAGGGTTAGGGTCAGGGTTATGATTTTGTGTAGAGAGTAAAGCATCGTTTCCACCTCAGAAAGCTGCTAGTCACATGACCTAATCAAAATGGCCGCCTTGGCTGTGGGAGGCTCCTCCCAGTTTCTCCTATCGTGACGGCGTTTTTTGTCCTGTCCGGTTGTCTCCAGGATCTCCTACAACCCTTCCCGGTACCCGCGGCGCATCCCGGAGGCCTACTGCCTGTGCGAGGGCTGCCTGCTGGGGCCGAGGGGCGCCCAGAGCCCCCGATTCCAGAGCCAGCCGGTCTACGCCCCCGCCGTGGTGCTCCGGAGGACCGGGGCCTGCCTGGGCGGGCGCCACGCCTACGCAGAGGTAGGGCTGTCAAGATACTAAAATATGCAACTCAATTAAATTTTATTTATATAGCGCCACATCACAACAACAGTTGTCTCACAGCGCTTTCCAAACAAAGCAGGTCAGAAGTTAACTACAGAAACCCAACAATTCCCACCATGAGCAAGCACTAGGCGACACAGGCAAGGAAAAACTTCCTTTAAACAGGCAGAAACCCAGTTTTCAACTCAACTCAATTCAATTTTCTTTATATAGCGCCACATCACAACAACAGTTGTCTCACAGCACTTTCCAAACAGAGCAGGTCAGACCCTGAAGTTAATTACACAAACCCAACAATTCCCACCAACAGAGAGACACGGTGAGGAAGTCCAGACTGTGAAGCTTTCCCCTTTTTAAAGTGAACAGATTCGGCCTATTTAAGTACATCTCTAGTAAAGACTCACTTAACCAGGACATTAAAAAATATCATAAAAAAAAAAATATATATATATTTCCGAGAGCGTCGGGTCACCAGATAAACAACAAACAAAACGCCGAGGTAGGGCTGTCACGATATTAAAATGTTTTCAACTCAATTCAGTTTTATTTATATAGCGCCACATCACAACAACAGTTGTCTCACAGCGCTTTCCAAACAGAGCAGGTCAGACCCTACTCTGAAGTTAATTACAGAAACCCAACAATTCCCACCATGAGCAAGCACTAGGCGACACAGAGAGGAAAAACTTCCTTTTAACAGGCAGAAACCTCGAGCAGAACCATGGCTCAGGGTGGGCGGCCATCTGCCTCCATACAGATACTCAGGAAAATACTCGATACTCGATACCATTTTCGATACCACAAAGATAAAAACAAAGACCCCAAAATTTATCTGAATTTTGACAGGTTAGTGTCTTTTATTTCAAACTGACCTGTTACTGATGTTATCGTGACTGGTGGCCCGCATTAATAACCCTAATCCTAACCCTAACCCTGACCCTACAGCTTCATAATTGTGAGAAATAAATATTTTTTGGTTTTTTGGACTTATTGTACAAACCTATTTAACATTCACTATTTTAACATAATATTATGGATAGAGTTTAATTCAGTGTTTACCGCATTAATTTCACTATTTTTAAATAATGTCTATATTGCCATGAGGCAATTACCATTTTCTTGCCTGGGATCTCCCTATTGGTGACTTGGATGTGGGCGGAGTTAGATATGTACTTTATTAATGGTAGCACGTTATTATTAGCCATTAGCCGAAGCTAGCAGTTCAAGGCTAACGTCTTGTTAATGACCATAAACAACGTAAAAAAAATACATAAATAAATCTGAGAGAAGGATGCAACATTTTAGTATCGATACTTTTGACAACCCTACTCCGAGGTCTACGTGTCCGTGGCGGTGGGCTGCACCTGCCTGCCGAGGCCCGACCACCAGAACCAGAACCAGAACCAGCAGCAGCTGGACCGTCGCCGTGGCAACCACACCCCCGACAGGAGGAGGATGGAGCCCAGGACCCAGCAGCTTGAGTTCTGACCAGGAACTGGGATAAGGAACCCCCCCCCCCCCAGGCCTCAGGCAGTCTGAGAACAGTTTCTGTCTGACCCGGTTATGGACCAGAACCAGGTTCTGGTCCCCCGATGGGGTCCGGAGTCAGAACCAAACCAGGTGAATCTCCATTTCTGGTCCACGCTCCAAAAATCTGGACAGGAAACCCAACTCTGACTATGTTTGAATCCGATGGAAGCTGAATAGATTTTATCCGAACCCTTTACTTTTGATCTCATTTTTGTAATTGTTGATTCTTTTTCTTCTTTCTGCTTGTAAATTCTTAATGAAGCACTTTGAATTGTCTTTGTACACGAAGTGTGCCCCACAAATAAACTCGCCTCGACGGATTTAAGGTGGATTAGTTTGCATTTTTCATTTGGTTGGAGCTCAGCTTCTCCTTCTGGATCTGCTTCAGAGAGAAGAGACGATTCATTTAGCTTTTTTTTCTTCTTTTTTTTCTGGCATCGGACGGCTTTTAAAACTTAAGATGATTCAGAGGAGGCAGAACTGGGGTGCGTTTCCAGATAAAACCAGGACCTTTATAACCAGTGGGGCCCAAACAGCTCACAGAGACCCATTAAATCTGACCAGTGCTGCCCCCTGCTGGCACTAAGGGATTCTTCTAAAGGTTAACGTCTGAATTCTGTTTTCTTTAATCAAAAACATCTACTTATTGTGTTCTTCTGCTACTAGAAATAAGCAGGTGGAGACGGTGGATGGGTGGAGGTGTAGCTTTTTATCTCTCCATTCAAACCTTTAACAGAGAAGAGTTTCCTTCTCTTTTCCCGTTCGACTCCTTTTGGATTTCTGAGCTGTTGAATGTGTCTTTAAACTCAAACTTTTACAGCACATCAAACGCAAATAAAACAAAAAATAGAGCAGCAAAACGCGGTTTTGCTTTGTTGGAGCGAAGCTCCAAATGAGGTTTTGGAGGAGGGACCAGACCCCCTTTAGGTCCGTCTGTTTTTGGGGGTCTGGGAGCCTTTGACCGCCCCCCAAAGAAAGGTCCAGGTGGAGGCCCAGTTGGAGGTTCTTCAGATGGTTCTGGTGGAGGTCCTGTTGGAGGTCTGGGTGAAGCCCAATCCAGAGATCCTGGTGGATGTCCAGTTGGAGGTCCATCCTGGAGAACCAGCAGGAGGTCTGGGTGGCGGTTAGGGTGGATGTCCGGGTGGAGACCCAGCTGTAGGTCCTTGTGATGGTTCTGGGTGGAGGTCCAAGCCGGAGACCCAGCTTGATGTCCGGGTGGAGGCCCAGTTGGAGGTCTGGGCAAAGATCCTGGTGGATATCCAGATGGAGGTCTGAGTGGAGGCGGTTAGGGTGGAGGCCGAAGCCAGATATTCTGGTGGAGGTCCTTCTGATTGTTCGGGTGGATGTGCAGTTGGATGTCCTGGTGGATGTCCGGGTGGAGGTCCTGAGTGGATGTCCGGGTGGAGGTCCAGTTGGCCCCCGGCCCTCAGTGGGTGAGCAGGCTGGAGGTGTAGTTGG